GTGAGTTGAAGAAACATGTTGTGCGTGTGTGTGTGAAAGTAACTAATGTGACAGGTTGCACACCCTTCATCATCGCCATCATCATCATCACTTGGAGACATTTTGATTAAAAACCCTCTGGCTGCTTGGTCCTACCTAGAATGAGGAAACAGCTTGAAGCTTCCATTTCATTTTCCTTCTCTGGAGGCTCTGGAACTCTGCACACCTGAACGAGGGGGAAGAAGCAGGTGGTCGATGTTCAGAACAGAAAACCGGTGCAAACCGAACAATCCGCCTGGACAGCATGCTCCGCTTACCTGGTGGAGTAGATTGACAAAGATGCTTCTCTTCAAGTCCTTGGGAAGGGCGACCTCATACAGGGCGGCCGCAGTCAGTATTTGCTTCAGGCTCTAGAATCAAAGGTTGTTTGGAGGCTGCCCATGAAGCAACAAACGCAGGATGTGGAAGGCAAATCATGTTTTACGAGGAGAACAAACTCATAACTTTCTTGCAGTTACCAGGTTTTTTGCGTGCCTGTTTTTGTTTGTTTGTTTGTTTTTTGGTGATTTGGGCCCTTTTACCTTGTTCACTGCTTCATCAGCTTGAAAAATTAATCTGAAATCCCTTTCTGAAGTTTCCACATCCAGCTATGCCAACTTCCTGCTGTCATATTTCTCAGCTGCCGGGACAGGTATTCAGGTTCCCTGGGGCCTCCTGAGCCTCGTGTGCTCTAGGATGGTTGCCAGCGGACTCTCTGAATCAGCTCTTTGGGGGTGATTCTTACCTGGGTGACATGGAAATCAATCTCTTTGTCACTATACTGGTTCAGGAGCCAGGGTACCTGGCCCAGGGCATATTCACAGAGGTCTTCCCGATGGAGCAGCAGGCTCACTGAGGGGCCATGGGCCTTAACGATGGGCAAAGTCTGCAGAGGCAGCAAAGAAATAGCACTGATAGTTCTTCATTACGCTTTTTGTACATTTCTCAGAACACCAGGAGATTTAGATCTCCTGCCCCAAAACTTCCTCACTGCTTTCAATCAAGACATATTTCTTAAAAACTTTAAAAAAAAAATGTTTAGGTTAAGAGCATTGTATGAGACAGTTATATTTTTATTTGTATTTATATCTATACCTGTATCTACATTGATTCTCATTTCAATACCTGACCCTCTTATTTATTTAACCTCTCTCTAATAGGCACTTTCTCTCACCGTGTTAATAAGTTTAAAATTTCCCTCATATTAAAAAAGTTCTTTGATTTCACATTACTTTGACCAACTATCATTCTCACCCAGTTCTTTCTCTTTTCTTACACTTAGAGCAAAGCTTTTTGAAGAAGTTTACTTTTTTGATTTCCTCTTCCTTCCTTCCATTTATCTCTCAATCCACTAAATCTGGTTTCCATTGACATAAAAATGAACACATATGAAATATAAATGTAATATGTATTGATTATAAAAGTTCAGAAATTCCTCAAGTTATGATGAAGAAAACATTGTACCCATCATACTCATAGATAATCACAGCTTGGTGTATTTTTAACATGGCCTTTATTTGACCTTTAAAACTTTTTTCTACGGATTTAAAATTTTTAAAAATTAACATTTTTTAAACATATAGTTTTACATTCTGCCTTTTCTACCAGCACCCATAATACTCATAGATAATCACAGCTTGGTCTATTTTTAACATGGTCTTTATTTGACCTTTAAAACTTTTTTCTATGGATTTAAAATTTTTAAAAATTAACATTTTTGAACATATAGTTTTACATTCTGCCTTTTCTACCACACTATTATATTATGAACGGTTTTCTATTAGCTAATTTTTTCTGAATGAAAACCACTTCAAAATTTAATGGCTAATAGCAACCACCATTATTTTCACTCAAGACCGTGTGTCAGCTAAGATGGTTCTTTCAGCAGATTTCTGTGAAATGAATCCCTTTCAAGAGTTTTCTCGCTTGGGCACTATGCCAATGGAGTCTAGATTTCTCTTTGCTTCAATCCCTTCTTTCTTAGATTGTAAGATCTCATTCCACTTGGTTCTCCCACTTCTTCAGCAGCACATTCTCAATTCTTCATCGTGAGTCCTTCTTCCTTTGCTTTCCCTTAAAAATCTATCTCTCCCACCCCAAACTCTATTTTTGGCACTTTTCCACTCTAGATACTCTTTTTTAAAATTTTATTTTTCAATTATCATTTGAATTCAACACTATTTTGTATTAGTTTTGGGTGTACAGCACAGTGGATAGACATTCATTCTAGGTTCTAAAGTGTTCCCTCTGATAATTCAATATGTACCCTTCTATCCACAACCATTTATTCAATTGTCATGTATATAGAGCTGATATCTAAATCTGTGTATCTAGTTTTTGCTTTTTGTCTTAACACCGACCCTGAATATCCCCAAACCTACTACTATCTCCATTTGGATGTCCCATAGGCATTCAAGTCAAAATGTCTAAAATTAAACACATTTTTCTAACTGCCCCAAATGTGCTTGTTATTTTTCTTGTTTTTCTCATCTTGATTAATGGCCCAAGATCATTCAAGTTGGAAATGTAAGAACCATCCCGGATGCCTTCTTTTCCCTCTTTATAAACACCTAATTGATGCCAAGTCGTGTAGAACCTATTTTTCAGCATGTGACTCCTTAGATCTGTATACTGACACTACATCCACCGATCCATTAGCATTCATGGCCTGGAATGTTTCTATAGCCTCCCAATAGTCTTGTTCTATTCCATCCCTATACCCCATCCATCTTTAGCACTGATAGTAGGATGATTTCTCTGGCACTCAAATTCTTGTTTAAAATCTTTAAAGGTGTCTCATTTCTCAAAAAAAAAAAAAAAAAGTCCAAGTTCCTGAATAGTATTCAAGGCTCTTCATTGTGTGGCTAACAGTGGTTCTCAACCTTCTGGCCCTTTAAAACCCCTTCCCCAACAATTTTTTTATTAAAAACGTTTCTTTTTCAGACTAATTTTTTTAATTTGGTTCTATATAGTATTTTTGATGCTGGTTATGAAAACAGTTTGTAACTCATCTTCATATAAACCATATTTTTTTACCATATTTTCTTAGTATACTCGTCAACGACTGAAAAAGAACATTTTGTGAAATATTTTCGTTGCTACTTCATAACTGTAATGTTGCTACTGTTATGAATCGTAATGTAAATATCTGATATGCAGGATGGTCTTAGGCGACCCCTGTGAAAGGATCGTCGCGACCCACAGGTTGAGAGCCACTGGGCTAAGACCTTTCCAGTTTCATTTCTTCCTGCTTCTCTATCCCCTTTCCCCTGTCCCTTTTGCCTTCTCCCACCAGATTCACTCAGGTATGCATGGAATCCCATCCCCGACCTTTGCTTCAGTAGGTTGTATTCCCTCTTTAGGGCATGGACCTTCTCTGTGTTAAATGACTTCAGAGGTTAAAAGTTCAGTCTCAATGCCACAGCCTTTCTAGTGCTCATCACTGGAGTTAGGTGCTTCTCTCTCTCTGCTCCCTTATCACTTTATGAACCTTCTTGTCGCTTGCCTGACTCTCGTGGGAAGTTAGGAAAGTAGTCATCAAATTTGTATTGAATTCTGTTTTTCAGGTGTCTTAAAGACAAAACTTCTGTAGGATATTTTTAAAAATGCCATGTTTGCTAATGATTTAAGTAACCCAGCAAGTTAAAAAATAAATGCCTTAATAGCTCAAAGTACAGAAAAGGAACTAAACTCCAGAAAGTAGCTACATGTTAAATCTTTTATAATAGAGCAATAGGATATTAACGAGCATATAATTTAGCCCACTTTTAAAAAATTTATAGCAATTAAGCAAGATAAGAATGGGATTATATATATGCACTGTGTGATCTATTCTCTACAAAGAATTACAGTATTTTGAAGCAGCCAAGCAAATTCTTTAGATGTTATTTCAATGTGATATCCACATACACAAGAAATTTCTGGGGACTGTTGGTTTTCCTAACCAGGGACTCAGCCCAAATATGGGTTATGGTATCTAAGACATGAAATAGCTAACATTCTATATATTCTTTTCATTTTATCTTGTCTATGGGGATTCTGGTCTGTTTAATATCTCTGTATCCCCAGCATGCATAACAGTGTCTGGTGTGTCCTGCCGACTCAATATATATTAGTTGAAAGTCAGAATGAATAAATATGGATTTGAAATAGGAAAAAAAAGTTTGGATAGGCTGATAATGGGGCCATTAAGAAAATAAAGTGAATAACAAACACATTTGGGGCACACAATCCATAGCTTAAAAAAAAAATTGAGATGACCAATCATGTGAAAAGAGGAAGTTCAGCCAGCATGGAGGAGAGCCAGTCTGGGGCTCCACTCACTTGTATGGGTGAGGTCATAGGCGCCCACTTCTCCATGATAAACCGGAACAGCATGAAGATTTTGTCAGATAGTCGCTTGGCATCCAGTCTGGGATAGGGGAAATCTCTCCAGTGGTTGACGTACTTGTAAATGGCCTTGCTGAACTTCTCAAGGGCTGCATTTTAAAAACAACCACAGACTGAGAAAAATATAATGGTGGGAAGGACCACAAAATAATTGAAGAGTACTGATCATTAGCAAATATAATCTCTATTAGCAAATGTAATCTCTCTATATAAAAACCTAATATGAAAATTTTCCCCTCTGGAGTTCGGCTGCTCACTATGACGTGTGCTGACCACCAGGGGGCAGCATGGAACACAGCAGGTGTCAGTGACACGGCACTGGCAGTGGGCAGCAGTGGAGGCTCTGCCAACCCTGATGGGCCCCAATGAGAGCTGGACCACAGTGGGATGGTGGAGCATGTGAAGGGGTGGTGCCAGGCCACAGTGGGGTGCCAGGTGGGACTGGGGACGCAAGCTGGGGCTGCAAGCCTGGGGGCATGAGCTGGGGCCCAATCCCCACAGGCCACCCCAAAGAACCCCACCCATGCACAAGTTCATGCACCAGGCCTCTAGTTGTTTCTATAAAATCTTATGACTATACCAAATAAACATCTAAAAAGTGTCCAGCCACACTGGTAAAATGTGAGTTAAAACCATAATGAGATACTATTATATATTACACATAATGGCTAAAATCTAAGACAATATCCAGTGTTGACAAGACTAAGGTAATGCTGGTATTTTCACATACTGCTGGTGGGAGTATGAACTGATACAGATACTTTGAAAAACTATGAGATGCCATGGCGACGATGAAGGTGTTCCGCCCCGCCCCGGCCGCTCTGGGCCTCTGGACAGAGCATGAAGGTGAAAGGCGTCTCCAATCCAGAGCAAAGGCAGTGCTGGCAGCCAGGCTGGGACGCTTGAGACGCCATGGCAATGATGCAGGCGTTCCGCCCCGCCCCGGCCGCTCCAGGCCTCTGGACAGAGCATGAAGGTGAAAGGCATCTCCAATTCAGAGCAAAGGCAGTGGTGGCAGCCAGGGGAAGGAAGGCCTATTCTTGCATGAATCTTCATGCATCGGGCCTCTAGTAATTAGATATGCATACATATAGGCACTAGAAACTCTACAAGAAGGTTCATACGAGGGTGTGCTTCTTTTTTGGGGGGGAGGGGGGTCAGAGCCTCAAAGAGAAAACAGTCCAAATATCTGCCAACAGTTAGAATGGAAAATTAAATTGTAGTGTAGACATGTAATTGTATATAGAAATAAAAATAGACTACAGCTACACAAAACGACATGTATGAATCTCACAAATGGGCAAAACTCATTTATGATATTAGAAGTCAAGATTGTGAGAGAATGGAGAGGAAGATGATTGGGGGAAAAAGACAAAAAGGACATCTGGGGTGTTAATAATGTCCTGCTTCTTGACGTGAGTGATGGTCAAATGGATATGGTCATTTTGTTACAGCTCATCGACTTCTGATTTGTATGTCTTCCTCCGTGGCTGTTTTACCTGAATAAAATTTAAAAAGACCTTGGGCCTACAAAAATGTCCATTTGGGCCACTAACCCATATGAATTTGTATCAAGTGCATGAAATAATATTATTTTTTCCTTTAGCCCTCATTCTACCCCTTTCATTGATGATAAAGAAAAATCATAGTTTACTCTCTCAAGGGTATTCCCGATGCAAAGAAAACTATAGTAAAGATGCCAAGTATCTTAGCTTTACAGCTGGCCACTTATTGGCTCATTCACATTCCCTCTGAACTCTTTATGATAATCTCTCACTACACTTTATCATAATCTTCTGTGCATGCGTGTGTCTGTGCTTGTGTGTGTGTATGTGTCTCACACTGGCCTATAAGTAACATGAGAGAAGGCCTGATGTTTTGTCTGTTGATGGTTTTCGACACAATGGATACAGGGTCTATTTATTTGCTGATTTACTGAGTGAATAGATGGGTGGATGGATGGCTGTTGAACTTTATACCTTTTCTTTGGTGGCAGTCAGGCAGAAGTTGCTCTAGGACCAAAGAGCAATAAATGACTTGATAACACAAAGACTGAGAATTCCCTTATTCATTGCCATTATGATTTCTGATTTTAGTTTCTCTTACTTACTTGGTTGCTAATTTTGCAAGTAGAGGTACCAAAGTTTATTTGCAGAACACAGTATTAGCTGTCATAGTAGGCAGGCATAGCAAGAAGTGTTGAGAAGTCCTTGAGTCAGGTTGTTATAATTCAAATAATGGCTCTGCCACATACTAGCTGTATGACCTCAGGCAAGCTGCCTACCCTCCAAAAATCTTAATTTTCTCACCTTCAAAATGGAGGAAAATGTTATCTACTTAATGGAATTACTGTGAAGGTTAAATGAAATACCCAAGGCAGTGCCCAGGCACATAGTCAATTTTCAGTATATGTCAGATATAAATATTACCTTCTCCCACACCTGAGACCTATATGTTCATGTTGACCAGTGTCACTCCAATTAATTTAATAAATAAATATTAAAACAAATAAAAACAACAATGACAAAAATTACCTTCATTGAGGACAGAACAAGAGGAAAAGGGCAAAATAGAGTAAAATAGTCTTGGCTGATAGGTAAAGAAGACATTCCTGACGGTGTGGGCTTTTAAATAATACAATATAATAATATTGGAGATGTTAAGGGTGGAGGAATCTTTATTTGATGTTTTTTGGGGTGAAACTGAGATTGAGTGAAGGGCAGAGGCACCTGATGGCTCTGTGGCAGGTCAGAGTTAAGAGTCTAGGCCTCTAGAACCATCCCGAAAGCCTCTCACTGTGCTGTAAGTGCTTCCCCCTAGGAATTCTGGGGCATGTTGCTCTTTGTAGACCCTTGATTACTGTAGATGAATTTCAGCTTGAAAGTGTGTGTGTGTGTGTGTGGGGGGGGGGATTTATGACCATAATTTGTTTATGAGTTTTACTTGGTTTTGTGATTGCTTATATTTGATTAGATTGTTTACTTATCACTATTACAATGTTGCATTACAAAGAGATGCTAAAATTCAGCCACCTGGTAAGAGCAGGTAAGCCCTCATTATCCTTGTAGAGAAATTGTGATCTAATTACAGAGGAGGCTAGTAGAAGTGGAGGCCATACAGTGCAGTGGAAAGAGTATAGATTGGGTGGTTACACAGACCTGGGCTTGGATGCCGCCTCTGCATCTCATCGATTGGGTCGCCACCTTGGGATGATTGCCTAACTTCCATGGCTCTCACATTCTTGTCTGTTAAATGGTCTAATAAGCACTTACTTTGCAGAACTGTCATGAGGATGGAGAGAGAGAACTCTCTGCCGGGGCCCTCCCTATGGTGGGCACTCGAAAAATGGCAGGTGTTGGAGAGGACAAGACTGGTCTTAAAGGGGAAAGCACAGGGTACCCACCGATGCAGAACGCTCCCTTCATGCTTTCCTCCTCGGCCAGCCTGAGCATGGTTTGCATGGTGAGCAGGGTCATCATCATGAAGGGAATGCTCTGGGACGCTGCCGTGGGGCAAGAGGAGCAAGGCATTATCTTCTCACACTGGGGAGGCCCGCCACGCCTCCCTCCTCATATCAACACTGTCCACACAAGCGTCCCAGGCTGCCACGGGCAGGCGCAGGAGGCTGGAGGAGGATGCTCTCCATCCCGCACCACCACCATCCAGGTCGTACGTAGTTAGAGGATTAAGGAATGGCACTAGCTATCTGGCCACCTATGTTTAGTAGCAATTTCTTATTTGGATAACGATGTCATGAATGCTCATCCCTTCCATCAGAACTGACCTAGATCCCCAGGGCCTGGCACAGATAATAGGTGCTCAATAAGTATCTGTTAAATAAAGTGGTGTAGACAACAATCTTAAGAAACCCATCTTGCCTATAAGTGTCCATTGGTTTGCAGAATACGCCATGTGGAAAATGTGCTTCTGCAAACACAACGCTGGATGAAAGGGAAGGTGAGGGTGGGTGATAATCCAGCCACATTTAGAGCAGCACGGACCGACCAATGGCAGTCGGCAGGCTCATCTCTGCCTGTAACGTACACAGCCGCTCAAATCCCTGGAGATGCTCTCCCTTCTGCTGTTTGCTCCCACTGGGGTTTTCAACAGTTAGTCAGGGGGGCTGTTTCCCAGGAAAACGTGGAGACTGTTCCCTTCATACCATAGCTGGTTGCCAGCTCGGCCAGGGCAAGCACAACAAATTCATTGGGCAGCTCCAGGATCCTGAAGTTACTTTGTAATTCATACATGACAGAGTTGAAATCATGTGCAGCAAGAGACACCAAAACCTCGCCAGCCAGCATTCTGATTTCTCTGACGACCTGAGGAAGAAAAGGAAAGCAGCAACAATGAGCAGAGAAGGAGCAGAGTGAATCTGCAGAGGGGAAATAGAATACATAACATTCGTAAGTCCCCCTGGCTTTGGGAGAGAGGGAGAAGAGGTTGTTTATAAACCCAGGGCGAAGGCCACAGGGTAGGTGCCAGTAGCAGGGAATGAGGAGGAGGTTTTAGTTCACTTTCAAGCTAGGTTTTCACAGGAATCTTGTAAACTTGGGGTCAATACATATTTTCTTGCTGGTGGATCAGGCACCAGAAACATAGGATTTACATTCTATGTCTGAGTGATATGAATTATTGTGTTGCATTACTGGGGTGGAAAGGCCATGAAGAGAGGAAACTGGTACTAAGAGGCCAGAGCTTTGTGTCTTAGCACTGTCCTGATCTAACAATATCTTTGATATTGGAGATATTTGGAGAGTCTTCTGCTTTTGGGAATGGTGACCTAGGCAATTTTTTTCCTTTTTATTGAATTTATTGGAGTGACACTGGTTAACAAAATTATACTGGTTTAGGTGCACAGTTCTACAGCCCATCATCTGTACACTGTATTGTGTGTTTACCACCCAAGTCAAGTCTCCTTTCATCACCATTTATCTTCTTTATATGAAGTAGGTAAATTTTATCAAACCTACTCCTGAGAAGTTGCCTAAAAATATCTCAAGCTCTAAAAGTAACCATAGATTGTTAGTTCCCTTGGCAGGTAAACAAATAAAAATCCTTTCTGAAAGAAAATACCATTATCCTATGGCTCAACATAATTTCTTCTAATAATTTTCAGATTCAATGCTTATGTACATAGATAAGTAGGCACACAAAGGAATAAAAATGTATACGGGAGCCCAAAGACACTGGATTCTAGTCATTTGTTCTGTTAATACATAGTTTGTCACTTTGGATAAAACACCTCTCTAAACATCAACTACCTCATATAAAAGTGTGTTGGGTAATATTCCCTCTAAAGTCTTTCTTAGTTTTCCTCATCTGTGAAAGGGTAAATAACAGACACTGATACTGTAGACAGGTTACCACGAAGAACAAATAAAAGGGATGTGTAGTCCTGGCAGCGATGTACAAAAAGCTTACAGATGTCTGCATGGGTGCAGTGAGGCCACTTAGAGACCTGTTGCTGGCGGCGACATGGACTCATCGTCAACAATCAAACTTACGTTGTTGTCTCTCATGTCCTTAGAAGCATAATAAATCA